TTTAGACTGGACATTAGGAAGAACTTCTTCACAGTTAGAGTGGCCAAAGTCTGGAACGGGCTCCCAAGGGAGGTGGTGCTCTCCCCTACCCTGGGGGTCGTCAAGAGGAGGTTAGATAGGCACCTAGCTGGGGTCATCTAGACCCAGTACTCTTTCCTGCCTATGCAGGGGGTCGGACTCGATCTATTGAGGTCCCTTCTGACCCTAGCATCTATGAATCTATGAATCTATGAAAAGTATAAAAGGGAGAAAAGAAACTGTATGGGGTGTAAATTGATGGAGTGAGTAAGAGAATGCCAGGACACTTCTGCATCACAGCTATAGAGCCTACCTAATCTGAAAGGGCTATGAGGAAAAATAAGATAAAAGAACATTAAGGACAACCCCGGGAGGCCAATCTGCACCATTCACACCCATGGTAGGGCCATTGGTTAATGCTACCAGTCACATCCAATTGCAGCAGAGGCATAATAAGCAGGGTTTGCATCCTGGGCAAGCCCTGCTAAAAAGTCCATTGGGAGAAAGCGAAGTGTCACTGAGAGCTGGTGAGGATGGGGTGCTGATAATGGGGATGGGGGAAAGAGAGAGGCATCTTACCTGCTCCTGGGACTCAAAAAAGCCCCTAGCAACTGCTGCCATGCCATGTTGTGCTTGCCCTAGTTGTTGCTGCTACTGCTGCAGTATGGTATACATGCATCCTGCTGCTGTTGCAACAGCAGCAATGTGGGATGCTGCTGGTGGTGCTGCTGCTGGGACATGGCCTCCCTGGAAGTGAAATTGTGGTGCCCCAACTAATTTGGCATCCAGGGCTGGTGCCCTGTTCACTCAAGCCATGTTACACTATCCCGTTGTCACTGCCCACGGTGTTAGGAGCAGAACTAATTATCCCAAACAAACTCTAATCACACCTACAGGTACACCGCCAGACCCAGTGGGGGGGCCGACTCGTAAATCTACTGCCCGACTCTAACCGACCAAATATTTAATTAGCGCTCAGGAACCGCAGACTCAGCATGCATCTGTGAAACACAAAACGACATTAACAACAACGGCAAACAGGTACGTAGAAGAAACGCTAGCGCAACTACAAATAAAGAGCAGTCGAATTATGTGTGCCAGGTTGAATCACAGATAAAAGTAGAGATCAACAGCTGGCTTCTCACCCAAGCACAACAATGTTACACGTATGCTACCCAGCTGGGGCAGCCAGCTACAACCCTACAGCGACACCACAATACTTCAGAGAAAATTGGCTGACCCAGCTTTCCCAAGCTCTCACTTTCTCCCACCCTCGCAGGACGCTCGGGAACTCTTCCTCACGGGCAATAACAAGCACAGACCCCAGATCCTGAGGTAAAATTTGTTTTATATTACTACTTCACGTGGCACCACACATTCTAGCAGTTACTTCTGCACATGGCACTCTGTTTTGCCACACAGCACACTACCTACGGCGACGTTTCCTTGCAGAGGACCAGTCCTGGTACTTTTCCATCCCCAGTGCAGGCCTTGGGGGCACACAAAGATCAGGTAATTTCATACCCCTCCTTGATACCAACTGTGGTTCTGCAGTTCCTTACTTAACATGTGGAGAAGCTTGAGCCAGTCCAGAGGAGATCAGAGGGCAAGAGAACGGCCCTTATGAGGAGAGGCTGAGAGCCATGGGACTCTTTAGCCTGGAGAAGCGCAGGCTCAGGGAGGACCTGGTGGCCACCTATAAGTACATCAGGGGTGTGCATCAGGATCTGGGGGACACCTGCTCACCACACCGCCCCAAGGGATGACGAGGTCCAATGGTCACAAACTCCTGCAAGACTGTTTTAGGCTGGACATAAGGAAACACTTTACTTTCCAAGCCCCCAAGGCCTAGAACAAACTGCCTCCAGAGGTGGCGCAAGCACCTACTCTGGACTCTTTTAAGAAACGTTTGGATGCTTATCTTGCTGGGATCCTTTGACCCTAGCTGACTTCGTGCCCCTGGGGCAGGGGCTGGACTTGATGGTCTCCCGAGGTCCCTTTCAGCCCTGATGTCTATGAATCTATGAAACAAAGGAATGAAGCTGGTTGCCCCCCAAGAAGGCTACCTCTGTAAGAATGGGCACACAGGCAGATGGAAACTGACCAGTAAATTCAAGTGTCCCTAGAAGCCCACATCTTCCTTTTTTAAGAATGTTTTAATATATTAGTTCTAAACCTTTTTTGTTCAAGAAGCCTTGAACAAATATTCACTTCTTATTTTTTAAAACACTCGTCCATCATCAGTCTTCAAATTATGTCTTGTGTTTCCTATAAACAAAGTTTTTCTAGCATATGATTCTAAGCTAAAATGCCCTCCAGAAATCTTTCGCCCTCCTCAAGTAATTTAAAACTTCTCCCTAAGAGCATGAACAACCCATTTTCCTTTTCCTGATGTTCCTGTGCGACTGTCACATGTTTTCCAATATTTCTTATATGTTGTTCTTTGTCTCCTTCCCACAGACACCAAGACAATGGCTGAGAGAAATCACTCCATAGCAACAGAGTTCATTCTTTCAGGGTTCACAGACCTTCCAGCATTGCAGGTACCCCTATTCATGCTGTTCCTAGGGGTCTATAGTATCACTGTGGTGTGGAATCTCGGGATGTACCTTCTAATTAGGGTGGATTTCCGACTTCACACCCCCATGTACTTTTTTCTAAGCCACTTGTCCTTTGTAGATGTATGCTACTCATCTGCCATCACTCCCAGATTGCTGTCAGATCTCTTAGCAGAGAAGAAAGTCATTTCTTATGGTGGGTGCCTTGCACAGTTTTATTTTTTTGTGTTGTTTGGCACTACAGAAGGTTTTCTCCTTGCTGCCATGGCTTATGACCGCTACATGGCCATCTGTAACCCACTGCTCTACATGGCCTCCATGAACAGCAGAGTCTGTCTCCAGCTTGTGGTTGGCTGCTACCTGGCTGGGATCATCAACACAACTGTGCACACAGGCACTATGCTTCGCCTCTCCTTCTGTGCCTCCAATGTCATCAAGCATTTCTATTGTGAAGGCCCCCCTCTGTACACAATCTCCTGCACTGACACGACCATCAATGAGACTGTGATATTTGCTTTTGTTAGCTTTGTTATAGTAGTCACTGTCTCTACCATTGTTACCTCTTATACCTACATCTTGGCCACCATCCTGAGGATCCACTCAGCTGAGGGCAGGTACAAAGCCTTCTCCACATGCACTTCACATTTAATGGCTGTCACCCTCTTCTATGGGTCTATTGCATTCATGTATCTACAGCCTAGTTCCAGGCATTCACAGGACCTAGATAAAGTGGCATCAGTGTTCTACACAGTAGTGATCCCCCTCTTGAATCCTGTGATCTACAGCCTGAGGAACAAGGAGGTGAAGGATGCCCTGAGGCGACTGATGAGAAGGCAAGTGTCATTTACATGCAAATGATTGCATATTATTGCTGATGAATTGAGAATAAGCAACATGTACTGTGGAGCAGGAAGAGGGGGATATTCCTTCTGATTTCTCCAAAGTATGAAAAAAATTAGATGGTAAATATCTGTGGTGGTAGGTGTTTTTGAGGCAGCTTGTTAAAGTTGATATCATAGTTGAAATTGAGCATGCGCAACAGTAACATTTAATAGAAGCCTCCAGAAGAATGGGAACTTTAGACCTGCTGCCCTACTTAGCACAGGCACGTGCAGAGGAGTCAGGATGCTTGTTGGGAAAAGTCATGCAGGAGTCTGAGGTAAATGTGGACAACCACTTTTGATGGATAGATGAGTGGTAAAGAATGTATCAAGGTACATATGGTGATGATTGGATAGAGAGAGAGAGATAGCAAGTGGAGATGATTGAAAAAAAATGATGCAATGTAAGAGAGAAAAAGGTATAAAAGAGAATGATTGGTGCCAAGTGGTTTGGAAGCAGGAGAAGGTACTTGGTATTTTGAAAAAGTGGTGATCTCCATCAGTGCTACCTTCTGTTGTCCTCATCTGCCCCTGGAGATCTGGGGGATCACCTTGTAAGGGTAAAAGCCTGTTGGTTAATCCTGTGAGCATAGTTTGACTACTCTAGAATTATAGTAAGGAGAAGAGAAGGGCTCCAGAGTCCCTCGGAAGAATCTCTTTGTTGTAAGAAGTGCAGGGCTCTTAACTAAGCATTTGTCTCAGCCTTAATTTGTGTATCTCTCAGTGGTGAGGAGAAAGAAGCCTAAAAAGCCTTACAGAAGAAGCCTGAGAAGCCTTACTTTGTGTACCTATCCTTGGTAAGGAAAAAGAGGCCTGAGGAGCCTAACAGAGTACCTCAGTGGTAAGCAAGAAAAAGAGCTTCTTCAGCCTTTTGTACTGCCTGTGGAGTTGCTAAACCTGCAGGGGACACTATATAGTATTAGTAAGCATATGTTTAAGTGTGAGCTTATTGAATTATTTTGCACAAGCTGTGGTGTCACTTGTGAAATAGATATATATATGCTAATAATTGTGAATTACTATTAATATTGTTGTTGTTATTAATAAATGTTACATTTCTTTTGTCCTTAATTTCATTGATTCATAAACAAATATTCCCCAATTCTTTTGTCCTTAATTTCATTGATTCATAAACCACTATTCCCCAACCCCAAGCCAGGCCCCAAGCCAGTAGTACTATTGAGCACTACTGGTCATCTTGAGCTAACTTCTAACCCTGTCTATGCTGACCTCGTGAAGGAACAACTTGAGAGGCTGGATACCTTCAAGTCAGCCAGCCCTGACAGTTTACACCCCACGGTACTCAAGGAGCTGGCAAGCATCATAGCTCAGCCCCTGGCACGGATCTTCGAGAACTCCTGGCGCACCAATGTGGTGCCTATCTTCAAGAAAGGGAGGAAAGTGGATCTGGCAAACTATAGGCCTATCAGCCTGACCTCTATCCCGGGGAAGGTCTTAGAAAAGGTTATCCAAGAGGCCATTCTTAACAGACTGGCCAATGGCAACATCCTGAGGGATAGCCAGCACGGGTTTGTTGCGGGTAGGTCTTGCCTGTCCAATCTCATTTCCTTCTATGACAAGGTGACCTATCAACTGGACAAAGGAGAAAACATTGATGTCATATATCTTGACTTTAAAAAAGCCTTTGATCTGGTATCCCATGATCACCCTGTTGTGGAAACACACGCAGCATACTTTTGGGTCAGGTCAGCAGAAGCTTTTATTTAAAAGAAACTACAGCTGTAGGGGGGACTCCAAAGTGACATGGATTTCCCAAGCACTTGGAAGGGGTCCCCCCCAAGAGCAAAATCAGGAGGCTTATATACTTTTTAACAGTTGTTTACAACTCACGTGATCATATAGTGAAATTAGCATGAAAAGCGGCTATAATATTACTTCATTATTTCTTTGCTGTAATCAGGATGGGAACTAATGGGGGAGGCGAGGTTAGTTCACAAACCTCCTTCTTGCACCTGGAAATCAGATTTGTACATACTTTTTTGCTATCTTCAAGGCCGCGGTGAGCGAAGCAGTTGCAGAGGAGTTACAAACACTTTCTCTTATCTGTTCTACTATACAGAGCCAGCAATTCTCCACAAAGCGGTTATGTCATCTTATAACTAAAATAATCAAAGTTTAAGGCAGATATTTTTTCTGATTCCACAACCCCTTAGTAAAACTGGCTAACTGTGGCCTTGGCTGCACCATGATCCGCTGGATGGGGAATAAGCTCTGTGGTAGGACCCAGAGAGTGGTGGTTGATGGAAGTCAATCGCCGTGGTGCCCCCCAGAGCTTTGTCCTTGGATCTATACTATTTAACAACTTCATTAGTGATGTGGACATTGGTATCTGAAGCGGACTGGCCAAGTTTGCTGATGACACCAAACTCTAGGGTAAAGTGTCCGCAGGCTGACCTTGACAGGCTCAGGAAATGGGCAGATGAGAACCAGTGGCAGCATAGGAAAAAGCCCTGAGTGAGTGTAAACAGACAACATGCTGATCATAAGGGAAATTCTAGTAAAAGGCAGAATCAGGCCTTACACTTGGATAAGGGACAGTACCCCTTTTTTGTCCTTAATTTCACTGATTCATAAACAAATATTCCCCAATACCAAGCCAGGCCCCAAGCTCATCCCTTGGGGCAGTACCAGAAAAGAGAGTGGAATTGTAAGGGTTTCCAGGAGGGGAACCAACAGGAACACAGAGAGTTAATGAGTTTCAATCTCATAGGAATGAGTTTAGGCATTTCTTATGGAAGGAGTTGTTCGGGTACACACAGAAAGGTGTAATTGATGGGCTGTGGACAGCTAGGCTGCTGGAGCTTTTGCTTAAGTACAAAACAGAGAAGGCAAGAAACAGTGACGGCAAGGGGGAGAGTTTGCCTCCACCACCTATTTCAGTCAGTCCTCGCACCCCATGAACATGAAACCTCCAGTATGGCACCTATTAGTTATGATTGTTAGGGTTGTCCCATAGTTACATTAAGTTTTGGTGATGAATTTGAGAGAGTGGTGTGACACAAGCAAGCAATGTTGGTAGATACCAGTGCCACATTTAGTTTAGTAAGTTGTGAAAAGAGGCTGTTTTTAATTGGACATCCATAGAGATAAAAAGCTTAGAAGGATTTGACAGCTCAGGGAGCGAAATAGGTTTTGTGAACCCGAGACCATACAAAATTGGATTGCAAATTGAGATGTCTCATTTTGGCCTATGTAAATTGCAGGGGGTGGGTTTCATCGGCTGTGATCTTATGGGAAATTTGGGAGTCACTGTAGATTTACCAAACCATGTTGTAATGGGGGCCTTCTTGGGGCCGATCTACCAACACCCCGCCCACCTGTTCTGGGCCACCCACCCACCTTCTCACCTACCACACCTTGTTGTTATCTAATTAGGATGTTAATTAGGTGGGAGGCTGCCCATTTCTTATCCTGATGCTAGGGAGTGCTATGTGGCTCTGTTCCTCCCCTACAACATAACCCAAGCCTTACAGATGACATCCATGGATTTTAACCTCACTGGCCTCACATTAGGCCCCAGAATCGTCCACTCTAGACCCCAACTGGATCCCTCCACTCAGGTGGCCTACTCCACTTTCATTCTGGGATACCTAGCTCCCTGAGCTGTTCCCCCTTACCGGTGTGGTCCCCCCAGACCTTTGGGTACACAGGCCATGGCCTCACCTCCAGGTCAGTCAGAACCCCAGGCCCTCAGCTCTGGGCATCCCTCATGGTGGGCCCCTGGCCCTTTGAGCCTTCTGGTCCTGGCCCCGGCATTGACCAGTCAAGGGATTTCAAGTCTAGCTTCCGAGTCTAATGTCCCACTCTCACTCCTGGGTCCGCCTCCTGGACCCTACTAGCGGGTAACCCACCCAGTTGTGGGAGCTGGGGTTATTAAGGCACCCCAACCCGCCTTTCACTGGGGTGGTAACTGGCCTGGCATTTCCTGGAGGTTCCCGTGCCACTGAGAGCCCCACCAGGCCACCCACTCCTGGCAAGGTGCAGTTTTAGGTCATTCCCAGTACCAGGAGCCTCCAAGCCATCCCCTACAGCTCCTCCCTTACCTCCAGGATGTTTCAAGCAGACTTGCATCCAGGCAATGTCACTGCCTGCCAGCAGTGAACTGCTCTGTTTCTATAGGCAGCCAGGGATCTAAAATGACTGCCGCAATCAAGCACCTGCTGGCTTCTTGGCTGGGCCCTTAAAGTGGCAGGCACAAACAGTGCCCTGCCACATGTCCTGAGAATCATAGGAAAGCCTGTGAGGGCATGTGTAATCCCTGCAAGGCACTGTTGTGCTGCGTTAAAGGCAGCAGATACATTAGAGCCGCTGGGAGGGAGACATTAGGGATCTCGCCTAAAGTGTGAAAGGAGTTGGGGCCACCAACAAACTCCAATATGGATGAACTGATACTGCTGCAAAAATAGAAGGAGCTGATCCAAAACCCCAAAGGCACTGTAGATTCTCAAGAGAAGCTGAGGAGAGTATTGAGGAGACAATTACATCACTAGTACAATAGGGAGTGTTAATTAGCACAGACAACGTGGCAAACAGTCCAGTTTGGCCCATGTGAAAGTCTGATGGAAAAACTTGGCATTTAACAATCTATTACTGACACTTAAACAAAATGATGCCAGCTTTAGCTCCAGCAGTTGCAAAATATCCAGAGGTTTTGGTGAGCATTGCTCATGGAGCCAGTTGGTTCTCCATTTTGGATCTTTTGAATGTGTTTTTTGCAATTCCAGTACACAACACACATTGGCACAAATTTGCATTTACATTTAGAGTCAAACAATTTACTTGTACTAGACTACGTCAAGGTTTCCATAACAGTCTGTTTTACCGCCGTAAGTTTGTCACTCAAATATGGGAACAGCTACCTGTACAAGACATGCATAATGTGCTTTCATATGTGGATGACATTTTAGTTACAGCTAATTCACGAAAAGTGTGTATAGAGCGAATGAAAACAGTACT